ACAGCCGGAGCACCCTGCCGGGCAGGAACAAAGACGGAGGGCAGTGCGAACAAGGCCAGCACAGCAGCCGCAAGGGCCACCCACCGCGCCATCAACGAACGGGCCATAGTTTGTGACTCGGTTTGAAGGCCGCTCTAGAGACAGCTCTGGGCGAAAGAAACTCAGAATGAGTCGCTTTAAAGTCTAGACTTCCAACTTGGCATTCCTGTCAGAAAAGGATATCCCGTTGACCAAGCATCTGGTAACTTTTTCATTTGGCATCGTCTTGTCTCCGCACTCACGAAGCCATCTGCCTAAAATGGTCAAATCATGCTGGGCCATATGTTACACTCTCTGTCTGGTCTGATCTGGTCCGGTCCAGTCTTCTCTTCTGTTCTCTTCGCTTCGCTTCTCTTCTCTTCTATGTTTGACGCTCACTTCCAAATCATGATGTGCTATTTACACTAGCGGCCTTTCTCTTCTCTTCTCTTCTGTTCTATTTTCTCTGCTCTGCTCTGCTCTTCCCTCCTACTTCTCTTCTCTCCTAGTTCTCTTCTTCTCTCCTTCTTCTCTCCTCTCCTAGTTCTCTTCTCTCCTACTTCTCTCCTACTTCTCTTCTTCTCTCCTTCTTCTCTCTTCTTCTCTCTCTCTCTCTCTCAACAGCCCAGCCTTCATCAGGTGGTAGCCAGGTAGTAGTCTGAACTTCAGACAGTGCCACAAAGCCTCAGGCATTGCAGATACAAAAAGCAATCAACTCATCGTGCAGCACGAGTGGTGCCCAGCAAACACCTTTTTGCATGTCTGCCAGATTCAACACACCGCATCCAGCATGGTCTAAGAGATCCATCAATGGAGAACTTGAAGGAACCAGCCGCAGCTAATAGCTGTTGCCAGTGTCCGGTTAACATGTTCGCCGCAGGGCGCTCAAAATCAGTGGCGGCTTCTTGCCTGCCCTGGCGCTGATCAAATGGCGCAGAGGAGCAACGTTGGCTCAGGAAGCAACACAAACTATACGGTCTCAAAGGGACGCATCAATGCCGATGGTTCTTCATCCCTCTGGTTCCAACTTGAGCCAACCCTTGCAAAAGTCTAGCAAGCCGGATGTAAATGCAGCCTTCTCAAAGCTTTGCTGCATCTGCTTTTCTCTTCTTTGGTTTGGGCACCAGCTTCGTGCTCACAGTGTACTTGGCATCCAAGCCTTCAATATAGCCCTCAACTAGGTCGCCCATTGCCAAAGGTCCCAAAGAGCCTGGTGCGACCAATGGTACAGGGAACACAAATGAGCTGGGCTGGCCTGGCTCCGCCAGATATCAGGAAAACTGGCTCAATGCTAGTATATATTCTAAGTTGATTAGGCAATCATCTTCCCTTGCATGCGCCTGCTCCGGTCAAAAGGATATCACCTCGCTGGAGTGGAGTCAATTCACTCGCCTGAGCATGAGCTTTAATTCTGCTGAGGGCCCGAGCCATGACAAAAGGAAAACCGCTTGGAAGTGAGATATGCCAAAAGCGATTCAACGCAGCAAGTATCAAGCCGTATCCTTTCCCAAAAGCTGCAAAGAATTGCAAAAATAACTAGGCTTTGGTGTAACAAACCCTTGGTCGGTGGATCGATTGGTTGGTTGGTTGGTTGGTTGGTTGGTTGGCTGGGTGGTTGGGTGGGTGGGTGGGTGCTTTGTTTCAAGAATACAGCTTCATGATGAGTTGCAGCAGGCACCTTCAACACTGCGGGGATCTGGGGCGTCAAACCCACCTGCCTCCCCAGAAGTACCAAGTTGCTAAGTGGTAGATCACATGGATGTGGATTGCGGGGTGAGTGACAAACCACAAGCCATTGGGATGGATGGTCATCTCAGACTTGGCCAGTTTGTACCGTTGGAAAAAAACCGGTTGGAATGCCAGACAACAGTCACTGACAGTGACAGTACGCCCAGTCTTGCCATTTGGCCTTGGCCCCAGCACAGGTCCTAAGGCCGTCGGTTCCCGCCCAGTGGAGCCGAACGAGGTGCGTCAGCCACCTGCTCTGCAATACTGAACTTCATCCGGCTGATTTCATCTGAAGCGACCGTCTTCCTAAGGCAGGTTGGCACATGGGAGCAAAACTCTTTGACATTGATCCTTTCAGTCTGAAAGAACTCCCTCTACCCACAGGGCGTCATAGATTTGTTGCATAGATTTGATGATGTGTCTTGTAAAGTCTCGTACTGTTTCTTGGCCGTTTCAGCTGGAAGACCCACCTTCTCTTGGGGCCAGGGCACCCGTTCACCCGGCAGCCTATGCGCACCTTCTCCGGGTCGGGGAGCTCTCCAGCCGGAATAAAGCGGCCAACCTTATGAGCAAAGGGTTCAAAAGTTCACTTGATAATAGGACAGTGGTGATTGTTCAGTGATTGGAACAAGCACTTGCATGTCTTGACCAAAACACCGTGAGTTGTGTCTTTTTTCGAAAACAAACCCTTTGCAGGGAACTTCCGCGAGCTTTCGCGGTTGCCAAGGGTGCCTAGGCGGTGCTTGGATCCTTTAGTGACTTTAGTGGCACTTACGCGAACGCTTTCGTGTTGAAATTGATCGATGCTTTTGGGCTAGGCAATCAACAATTATGTTGCTTGCGCCATTGCGCCTTGCGCGTTAGCTTTTGCGGTTTGAATGCTACAACACAATTAGTCGGGTGCTTGCGCAAGGTGCCAAAGCACGTTGATGAGTTCCACCGCTGAGGAAAAAAACTTTCATTTGGAAACAAAATGAAACAAACACACTTCCCCTGTCACCATGAAGTCGAAGGCGTGATGGCTTAGGCATGAACGTTTGCTACAAGAACCGCGGTTCAATCCCGCAGCTGGGCCCGCAGCTGGCTTAAAAGAGCTCTGGCATTTGTTGCGCGTCCAAGACATTCCATACCTAACTGCAACAGCTGAAGCAGATTGACTCGATGCGACATGGCATAAGCAAGCTCAAAAACCGACAAATCCAACTGCCACATCTGGCGGCTGGATGCTAGCTGCTACAGTGCTACAGTACCCACAAATGTACCCAGCAAAACGCGCTGCAATCCAAATCTGGCCCATGCCGACCTTCGTGGTTCGAAAGCTATTACTAGGAAACATGCTCCATGCTGAAGGATCAAGCTGACAAAAAAGCCCAGCCACTTCATTGTTTCGAAGCCTAGCACCACTCAGGACGAAGGACTGGCTGTAAAATCAAAGTCTGTCTGTACAGCTCTCCTTTGGGAGAGAGCTGGACTCTTGGAATATGTCAGAGTCTCGGACAACTCACACAAAACCGCAAAAGTACAATCAGGGAGGTGCCTAGATTGCCCCCGGTCAAATCCAGCACGACGCAGTAGCCACCCACATAGTTCATGGCCTCTTCGACGGATAACTTTTCGCCTCGCGTGCAACACATGGGCCCGACTCTCGGGGCAATCAAAAGACAGTTTTGGCAAGCTGCATCGGTGTGAAATCACCACCTCAGCCGGAAGCCACCACCGCAGCCGGAAGCGCAAAAGCAGCGAGAGTCAATCGGTCAGACCGCGTGAGCATCCGTGAAGACTCTTTGTAGGGTTTGTAAGTCCAGGATGGCCATTATAGAAATCATGTGTTGGATTCTTTTTGGATACTTAGGTTTGTGTCCACCAGCGGTGGCTTTATTCTAGGAACTTAGAAACTTGAAAAAAAAAAACGAACAATAAAGAAACACCAAAAGTGCAAACCAAAAAAGCACAAGCAAAACCAAGTGATAGAAAAGAGCGACCAAGAAGTCAAAAAAAGCAAACACTTAAAGCACGGAGCAATTCGTACAGCAGCACGGAGCTACTACTGAGTAACTACTACTAAACTACCACTACTACTCCTGCTGCTGCTACTTACTACTACTTACTACCCGCACCCTAACGGCAGATTCTTAGGGTGGAGGCCATAGCTCTTAGGATGGAGGCCATCGCTATTAGGTTGGAGGCCTGGAGAACTCATCGCCTCTGCTACCTCGGAACGGGCCATCAGCACCTTTCGTTCTACGACCCCATCTGACCTGTCAAAGCATCTCCTTCACTCAGTTCGGTGAGTTAACGAGACAAGTGGCACCCATCTCCGCTTCCCACATCATATGCACACCTTCAGGTATTTCACTTTGCCCACCGCTGGCTATCGCAGAGCTCATGGGGCAAACAAACCACTCCTTGGAGGAGGGGGGGTCGCAAAAACCCTCTCTAACGACATGTTCTGATGTTCACCCTGGTGCTGACTCACGCAAGCTTTGAACTTTGCCTGGTGGGCTGTATTGTTGTGGTCCTTCCGCCTCTGTCGGCTGCACAATAGTGTAATTCATTATCTGTGAAACACCTAGGTTGCCTATGAAACCAATTACACAAAACCATTTTCGGTCCACGCTCTACAACTCTACAAAACATTCGTCCCATGCCCCATTGATAAATATTATGATATTGATTAAGAGGCTACAACTCCGATTCGGCCAAGCCACTGGTCTCAGAAACCTCGGAGGAAACAGCAGCTCTACTCCACAAGTTTGCAACATCCACATCCCTACACTGCACCCCTGCCAATTTCGCCAACCAGCAGTTTGTTCCAAACCTGGCATGATGGGAACCCCGCATCTCATTTGACCAATATGGAGTCCCGAGCAACCAGTACAAATCAGTTTCATAAAGGAGCGTTTTGAAGCGTTCACCAATGACACCTATGCCTACCTCCGTGTCTGCCTTGACAAGCCACAAGCAAACGCAACACCAACATGTGAAGGACTTCTCTGCTACCGTGTACATGCTGGAAATTCAGCATTGAAAAGGCCCTTTTCTCACACAAATGGCCTCATTGTTGCTAATTCATGCCTCTAGTTTTACTTGCTCAGCTGAGCTGCTCCTCGGCCTTTTTTTGTACCAGTGTGCGATCTGCCGGTAGCTGCTGTCCACGGTGGTTGCCTTAGTTCTTGCAACTCTCGAACCATGTAACAGCAAAAGCCAAACAACCAATTCACGCGCCACAAATGGATGCCAATGATATGAGTTGCAGATGGTTCCCAGGATCTTCTGACCCTCCATCATTGGATAAATTGGCATTGTCACTTCACGTCGTGCCACACGATCTCGCCTCACCCAAGCCATTTGGTCGCAAACTCACTCTGCTGTCAGGCCCGTGTTTGGCACCAATGCAATCAGTGAAAGCAAGACACCAAAATGGGCGGACAATTGCGAAAGCCACGGCACACTGTCAGCGTTCTATAGCAGGTGGAGATCACTGGTGTTGGGACACCCTTTGCGAGGCCCATGCGATGTGCCGAACCCAGCCTGGCATGCACTCCAAGACATGAACATCGAACTCTGCAAGTGTTGCAGGTCACAGGTTCACAGCTAATGACCTGATCCACCAAATGCATTAAAAATCTAAAAAGCATACAACGTCAGACAACAAAAGTCCGCGTTCTAGAGGAAGACCAGGCCAGCTGAATCAATTCAATAGTGGGTCTCCTCCCGACTCTTAGGCAGCTGACCACCAGCGATTCCTCTCAACCTTGTCCAACCCCGTTGGATAATTTCTATTGGTGCTGGTGTCACACCAAAGGCTCTTCACCCAACTGCAGCTGAGAAGCAAATCTTCCAGCTCGCTATGCCTTTGGCGTGCACCAAACTTTTTAATTAAAACAATAGCTAAGAAAAATGATAATGAAAATTAGCCCAGCTGGAGACCCCAATAGCAAAATACAAACCGGGACAAAAAGAAAAATCTGGAAACAACTGCTGTTTTCAACACATCGACCATCTCTTCCTTGGACACCATCATCACATAACCGGGACACCATCACATGACCAGGACACCATCAAAACACGACCGAGACACCATCACAACATGACCGGGACACCATCAAAACATGACTGGGACACAATCAAAACACGATCGGGACACCATCAAAACATGACCGAGACACCGTCACAACATGATTGGGACAC